TGTTTAATTAAATATTTCGTAAGAATATGATACAATTAAATGTTACTATAATAATTAATGTTAATACAAGAAATTTGTTGCGTTGTCTGTGGATGTCTGCCGCTACATTTCTCCAAATGCCTTCAGCACTTTCTCATGCTTTCTCTCGTTTGTCGTAGACGTTTTGTATCCAATCTTGGATTTTATGAACCCCATGGCTTATTTTTTTCTACATTCCATATCAGAGGTTCAATTAAATCAAAAAGGAAATCATATAAAAATGCCATATCAAACGAATATAAGGAACAACTGGAAAAATATCCAGATATAGACGAAAAAATCGAAGACATTTCAAATTCACTTCTGCAAGATGGTTATCACCGCACTAGTGCTATTGAATTATCCAAATCCCATGAAAACGCACGAAAACGTGTTAAGATGGCTATCCTAAAAAAGAAATTCTTTCCGTAATTTTCATACTCCCTATTATTCTTTAGAAATCCTATTGAAGCCTGTTTGCTTACGTTTGCTGCTCAAAGGCAACTTTTAGCGAACGCTTCATTTGACCCTAAAAGTTGGCATTCGGAGACTCTTTCGCAAATGTTTCCTATCACGGCCCCTAGTGTTGATAAACTTCTAGATTCGCTTACTTCGCGCCCATATCGAACTATGCGTTCGGTTAAGATGCTTTATGACTTCAATTATAGAATATTAAATCGAATGAAATCAATTTGTAATGCTATGGAAAAATGCGAAACAGAGCTCCCTATTAAAGAAAGATGGTCAAAGTTAGTCGTGTTTCTCCCAGAAAAATTACGCTGGATCCACAATTATGAAATTTTAAATCTTCTTAAATACGCTGACGGAAATCCAAATATACCCTTCTACCAACAAGACCGCGAACAGCTTTATAAGAGCATTTTATTTGTGGAGCGTGTGATGGGTCCTTTTGAAACGTTTGCTATGAACTGTGGCCTTAAATCAAGTGAGCAATCTGATGATATGCCGTTTCAGCGTTTGCTAGAATTGGATCAGGAAATTAAAAGCTATGCTGGTATGTTTGCCTCAGAAGAACGTGTTATTTCACCATCCCCGGAACAAGCATCCAAAGTCGAGGAGGAGCCTATCGAATGTATTAAGACATGTAAAAGGAAGCTGCAAAGCGTGGACCTAAACTTTTCTTCATCTCTGCGATTTAAATGGCTTGTTCAATAAATAATTTTTATTCAGCAATATCTTTCTTCATTTATTCCATCAACTTTTATCATTGGGCACTTGGCATCCTGTATATTCTCTATAATATAACTATATTTAGGGCATTTTTTGTAACTTTCCCTTAAATTTTTAAGGATATATTTAATCTTAAAATTCATAATAGCCCTAGCTTGTTCCGAAGTATTTCATTTTTATTTGTATTATTGCTTTGATTTTGAAGCATAAAGTGTAA